TACAAAGAGACTATTTACTTTTGGCATAAGAAGGTCGCAAAGAATGTTATCCTTCATATTTCAATTTGGTGGTTGTAAGAGTGTCATGGTCTAGATTTAAAGTTTAAAAAAGAAGTAACTTTGGGACTAGAAGGCACATCTCTAAGTTATTTTTAAAAGAGCTTTTTTGGTGCCGGAAACTTTGCAATGGCCTAAAAATTTGCTTTCATCCCAACTCATTAAATTTAAAGCTCTAGAGATGATGAAGATCGAGTATTTCTATTAACACTTGAAAACCTTAAAAATGGATAGGTCAGATAATGCGCTACAAGATCACTATTTTCAAGACTTAAATCTTTTTTTTTTTTTCTTCATATTCATGCATATCAAAGTAAAGATGATCAATTATATTGTTTTACACTATCAAAACAATATGTTTTGGTGGATTTTTGGCTTGCGGTGTTTCATTTCTTTGCCTAACTGATAAGCATTTTTTATAACTTTAAATGCTTAAACATTACCCAGAAAAGGTTTTTGCACCTTGTCTTGAAAATTTGGTAACATATATTGTAATTCACAAGGTTTTAATATTGGATAAATTTTTCATGCGGGCTGGACTGCATTTTTACATATGCGGTCCAAAAAGTGTAAAGCATCCATCTTAAAGATGGATGCAAGTAGGTGTTCCATCTAAAAACAATAGAAACTAACGGTCCAAATGTTTTCTTAGTAGAATTATTATTTCTAGTTTTAAAAATTTATTTATTTATTCATATTCATGATCTCCATGTTAGAGATTAAATGTCCTTAAAAATTAAGTCGTAAAATCCATCTCAAAAATAGATTTATTAAGAGGCCCTCATTTCTACATATACGGGCTTGGCCGCATAGAAACCGGGTCCTTTAACATTAGGAAAATCCCTTCGGCCATTATTGTCTACTGAAATAGTGGACTGGCGACAGGGTGAGGGCATGGCCCACTAAAATAGGACATGACTCCTTTCCTTCTCCATCACTGTCCATCATTGCATCAAACGGTGATGATCAAAAGAAATAAATATGCACATTATGATCCCATGGACCCCTTGCTCAGTTGTACACACAGCAATATCCCAGAGGTGGGTTTGTCATATAACAACATAACAATCGAGCTTTGTTGCTTGTAATGAACGAGGAATTTAGTAATCAATTTATCTATTTTTAAAGGGAAATATTAAATATAGATTTTTTTTTTTTTTTTGTTAAAAAAGAGGCTTTTTTTTCATGATAACGGCTACTTTTTCCACCATGTTGAAAACATGGTCATTTTCATCTTCTTAGATATCGGTTAACTTAATTGAAAACCAATATGGAGGGGGTTTAGCTTTGAAAAAACAGTTGTTGTTTACCATATATCACCGCCTAATGAGGCCAAATAATGTTATGATGCCCCCTTTATATAAAAAGAAAGTATATAATGAGACTATTTACTTTTAGTACAAGGCTGTCAAAATTAATCTTGACCATTAGATGTGAAATTAGGTGGCTGTATTTATTTTATTGACTAAGCTCAAGGATCAAAGAAATTTTCTCGAACTTTGTAATACACCCAAGCTACTAGATTTTACATCGAATGGTTGTATAGAATTGTGATCCCTCTATACCAAAGGTAAATAGTCTCATTGTATACAATCTCTTTTACAAATTGTTGAAAAAAAGTATGTATTACGCAGCATATTTACTTGTCAAAAATTGTTTTAACGATGTGTCAAGTCTACACTTTCATAATAAAACGAATGGTGTCAAAGATCATAGCCTTTACTTCTACAAAGGTTGTCGTAAGACTTAGAAAACACAAATCTTCTTCCATATAACATCCTCTAATTTATAAGTCAAACGGTGGATATGAAAACACAAAAAATATATAGGAATTGTCTACAACATAGGTCATTTATCTTTTATACATGGATATCACAATCATTATCACTCATTAGATATTAAATTAGAGGCCTTGGGTGATTCAGGCGGTCAGAGTTTTTTTTTTTTTGAAATTTTATGTCTATTCAATGACACTCTTATATATATTTATTTAAAAATTTAAAAAACAAAAATAATTGCGAGTACATAAGATAAATGAATCCAATCTCAAACATTGGTTGATTTATTTGCCATTCTCTCTCAATCATTGGCTAAGCTCCTCATCAACTTGGCAAAGGCCTCGTGGTGGTCCCCTCTAACGCACCATGTCATCAACCGTACACCCTTATTGGGGACACGTGGAAAAGCGAAGATGCACGCTGGGATGACATGGGAGTAAGGAACAGGTGCCACGTGGACGGGCGGGCCCCAGCCGAAGTCAATGTTTTCGAACCCCAGCCGGCTCCACTCAACCACAAACAACGTCTGATAAGTAAGATCCTTCGGTATAAGTGCATCCACGTGGCCCTCCATCCACCGTGCCACGTCATCAGGCAGCCTCGCCTTCCCTCCTTTGATCCAGTTCACGGCATCGTCTAGTCCCGCACGTGCGAGTGTCGCCCCATTTACCGACATGTCCACAGGAAAAAAGCAATTTCCATAGAAGCCCTCAGGCAAGGGTGGCTTTATAAAGGGGCGAATGTTGGCAAGGAACACAAGCTCAGCAACTTCATTTTCTTTCATGCCTATCGCACGTGCTCTGTATCTCCACACTTGTGCTGCTATGGCTTCGAACGTGGTGCACGGTACTCCGGTGCTCTGTATGTATTTTTGCTTTAGCCTTTCTATAGTTTCTATCGGAATATCGACACAGACCTCGCGGAGGCCGGAGTCTTGGGGGGGGGAGGGGGAGGGGGAGGGGGGAGGGGGAGGGGGGGTCGGGGGGCGGCGGGGGAACGGCTTGTGGGCCTAGGTTGTTGCTTGATGGCCTTTGTTTGGGCCTTAGGGATTCACGGGCCCATACTGGCAGGATACTTGGATGGGGCACACCACGTGCTAGCTCTGCGACTGTGCTTGTGAAGCGTGCCGAGCTGAAGCCATCGCAGATGGTATGGCAGAAATCAAGGCCCATCACGAAGCCACCGCATGTGAACTTGGTCACCTATAAACTCAATTTCTGCATTTAAGCATATATTTTGAAAGAAAATGGAAATTTGGTGATATTAAATAAAGCATGCTGTTATCTCATGACCTTTTATTTAAAAGAAAATTTTTTATATAGAGCCGAGGCTCTAAACAATCAAATTAGAGCCCACCTCAAAAATATCATTAGAAGATGTTGTTTTGATGCCCAAATATCCTCAAATTGATCATCTCGACACCAAGAATCATGGAAATGAGAAAAAAAAAATGGATTTCAAGTTTTGAAAATAATGCATCTTGTAACGCATTTTTAGACCATCAATTTTCTAGATTTTCATGGATTTGCTCGATCTACACTATTTTTTAAGCTTTAAATTTTATAATTAAAGACGAAAAAATATTTTAAGACTATCACAAAGATTTCCAATATCTAAACCATATTTCTCAACACTATTTGAAGGTACCCTTTATTTTGATTGTTTAGAGCCTCAGTTCTATACCAACCGCAACCTTATTTAAATTCTCACTCTACTTTTTTTTTTTCTGATTTTTTTTCAGAGAGTGAAAAATAAATAAGTCTATCTGCAAATCATATTAGGAACAATATCAATGTTAGACAACATAATTCATGTGATATTTTTAAAACATAACAGCCTTTGTCTTCTCTCGAGTGAATCAAATGGTGCCCCTGCAAAGATCTTAACCAGTGCATTTAAAATTTACGTTGGGTGCTTGTCTCAACAGATACTTTGTAGTCTCTATGATTAACAAACCCTAAATCATATCTTTGCTTAGCTCCTGCTTAATTCCAAATAAGGCTGGCAATGGGCTGCCCTGGAATGGAAAAGTGGGGTTTCAGCCCCAAATCTTTGGCCATAGGGCTAGGCAAGGCGGGCTGGGGCCAGAGGCCATGGCTAGCCCAACCATGTTTCTATTTAGTTTCCATTATTAGGCCCGACCATAGATGTCCCAGCCCAAACTAGGCCACCTAGCCAAGGGGCCCAGCCCAAGCTAGGGCCCTTTTGGCTCAAGCCTGGGTCGGGACTCTATGGACCTAGGTCGGCCCCCTGCCCTAGCTCAAAATTATATCGCTAAGAAATCCCTTATCAACACTGGGGAAAGAAAAATAAGCAAGCAATAGAGTAAGTGGCATTTTATCCCTCGAGTAGAATCATTGTTTATGATATGCTCGTTACTATCTAGGGAGCACATCCTAGCATGTTCCCTATGGGCCCATTTGGAACCATAGTAAAAGTCAATCCTCGAATTGAAAGTTTTTAGAATTGAAATCGCGTGGAAATGTCAATTCCATGTTTGGATCGCATCCGGTAGAAATAAAAAAAATGTAAATTCTCTGTTTGGATTGTCTGGAATATCTTTTTTTTAGAAATGTAAATTCTTTCTCTCTCTCTCTCTCTAACTAAATTTTTGAGATGGTTTTTATCTCTAAAATTTTAATACACTCGTTTTCAAAAACTTAAAATTTGAAATAATTTCTCTCTTTAAAAATTTTGAGATAGTTTTTATCTATAAAAACTCTATATATTTTCTCTCTCTAAGCTAACCAAACACGATTGGCCCAACTTTTCTAGGAAAAGTGACTCCTAAAAATTTGAATCCAATGAACCAAATGGGCCCTATGGGAATTTACTATCCACACAATAGTGGAGAATAGAGATCAAATCAGATGTATGCTCATACTAGGGTTTAAAAAAATGTTGATATGGATTAGAATCAACCGATTTCGATCAAAAACTGGATGGGCAAGCCTGCAAAATATCGAGATTCCCTCTAGGAACCAACAAATTGATTCCGCTAGAGAACCAGCCATAACCGGCCCTCCCTTTTATTTTTAGAACTTTTTCAATTTTTTTTTTTTCCTTTTTTTGTTCTCTATTTTTTTTTGTTAATATTTTATTGGCCAAATTATGGATCCAGATTGCCGAAGTAGACTAATTTTCCAGTTGGGTGATCTAGGTCACTAAAAAACCTTGATTCATACTAATGTTATCAATATCAAACTGGCTACCGAATTAGTGAGAAGTTTAGTCCAGTTTAAAGCAGTCTAACCGTTGATCAAATCTGTTTGACCCGATTTTGAAAATATTAACAAGAAATATGAGTAATAGTTTAAAAATATATAATTTAGTATAAAAAGTTGACTACTTTGTTTGGACAGTTGAAGCAGTCGAAATGGGCCGATTCGATCACTTAAAACTAGTCAAACAATTGTTTTGACTAATGTTTTTTACCAAATTTGGCTTTTATTTCATACCAGACTAACCAAAACACCGATTGGTGATTTGACCGGTCGAACAACTAGTCCCGTCCGGCCTTGATAACTATGGTTCATGGTTCATACTCTCTTGAGTCAATCTCTATGATCCATCTAGGGTTCAATGGTAGAAGCTCCAGGTGGACATATTGTATAATGTGCACCCTGAACTCGCGTAGGGTTCATGCAATGGCAGAGTAACTCAGACAAGTCCACTCATGTGCAAAGGCTAAAATTAAATAATAATAATAAAAAATACAACAAAATTGTTAAAAAACAGGAAAAAGCAAACTAAGTTATGGTAAACCATTAAAATTTAAATTGCTAACCACTAAAGCCCAAGCCTAAGGGTGGCGCCTCACCCATTTTGATATTTTTTATATGTCCAAGTTTTTAACCAAGTGCCAAGTCCCACTTTAAAATTTTCAAAATTTTCCTAAAATTAGCTCACCATATATTGCATAAGAAAGCTAGCTCACTATCCTACTATGTGTAAGGCTATGGCTTCTCACTTGCCTGTATCACCAGCAAGGGGTCCTCTTCTCCTACCCGATTCTTAGATCCATACAGCAACTGTTCTTTCGGGATTGCTTGATCGCCGTCGAAGAAATTCAGGTCCTCGAGCCTGCACTCCGCCTCCGCTTCTATAAAACCGATGCCTTCTCCGCTGCAATCAACTAAAAGCTTTCCATCACTAGAATCCTTCAATCTTCCAGCCAGAGGATAATAGTACACAAGGGCCTCCGATAAGGCTTCTTTTATGATCTTGGCGGCCATTTCGCCTCCTTTTTCGTACACATGAATAGTTTTCACCATGTTTCTCAGAGCAGGGCTAGTATCAAGCACTGAGAGCTCAAGAAGACTAAGAGGAGTAGGCTGAGAAGGCCTCACATATGTGACCTCAGACTTGGTGAGAGAGAAACCCATTTCTAAGAGAGAGAAAGAGCTTTGATTCCTGCACTAAAGAGCTTGTGTTATGTCTTTATAGGGTGGTGATGATGTTTCTTTGATATATATTAAGGCCTGTGGCTAATTGATGGATGGCTGAGATAGTATTTCAACATGTTGAGGGGGGTTATGAGCCGTCCAATATGGTGGGGCAATTCTTTGCTTTTGAAAGAGCATGTGTCAGGTAACTCCGCGTATGGTGCACCTCACGTGTGGCCTACCAACTATTTATGGATAATATGGTGTAAGTGTGTGTGTGAGAAAGTGGCAAAAGCCATCAGGGATTTATAAGCCCGTGATATGCATTTGTTTCAAGTTCTTCTTATTTATTATATGATTCATTTACTTTTCATGGTGTTGGATAATTGTAGGGTTGTAAAATAGTGCCTTGTAATATGTTCTATCTCCATTAATGGAAAATGGTTAGGCGGCTTTTTCCCCACTGATTTACCCCCAAAAAAAAAAAAACTCATTTTTATAGGAGCACATTGTAAACTTATTCTCTTGAACACACTTACTTCTTCTCATTTTAAGGCTTCCGGATCATACTTTAGAATGACCATTAGAGAACTTACAGAAAAGGAAGAATGGATCTTGAGTTCCTAAGCACTTAGATCTACCCGTTCAATTTTAGGGCTTCTTTTTTTTTTATTCCTTTTCTGTTTAGGTGCACATAATTTTTTACAATTCCTTCTTCTTCTTCTTCTTCTTTGAGGTTTTTTACATTCAGGAGGTGAAATTTGAGTCCTAAGAGTACTCCTAGATAATAAATATACCATGTGCTCCTACGAGATCGTATAATTTTATGGCTTTGGTTGCTTTTGGTAAGGGATTGTACATTTACCCTATTTTATAAAGAGCTCACAATTTTTTACAATTATCTGATATGAAATTTGATAGTTTGAGCGAGTTACAAAGTTCAAAAAAATCTCTTTTAAATTTTGTGTTTGGTCAATAGAATAAATTGCAACCACCTAATTTCACATCCAAATTTCAAGATTAATGATGACTACTTTGTACAAAAAATAAATGGTTTCACTGTATCCTTTTCTTTTTAGTAATATGTGCAGGGCACTTGAAGAATCACAAGTATATTAGCTTTATGCCCAAATGTGGATTTATTATTAAAATTTATTTATCGTAATTGTCTTTTGCTTTGCTTGAAAGATGAGGAACTCTTAGTCTTCCTTAGAAGTCCGTAATGGCTTTTTTATTTGGTCCCCCCACCTACAATTATAATTGGCTTTCTTTTATTTATTTTATTCATTTTTTTCATGGTGCTCTCTGCCATTGTGAGAATGAAATGAGTGCATGTTAGAAGGATATGGATGAGTGGATAAGTATCTCAGATAATGGGAGTCCATGTCTTTATGTTGGAAAAGGTTCACCTTAAAAATTCACAAAAGAATTACAAAGAAATACCATAACTATTACAAAGAAAAGACTAGGGAACTGGGGTGGGGTTTGTATAAGGCTGAGGCCCTAAACAATCAAATTACGGTTCACTTAAAAAAATTCACTAAAAAAGGTTGTTTCAATGTTGAAAGAATCTAAAATTCAATCATCTTGACCTTAAGATGTATGGACATGAGAATAAACAAATTTCAAGTCTTGAAAATAATACATCTTGTAATGTATTATCTGGACTGTCAGTTTTAAAGATTTTCAAGTATTGATAGATCTACACTATTTTTTTAACTTTAATTTTTTTTAATTAGAAATGAAAATAAATTTTCAGGTCATAATAAAGATTTCTAATACCGAAACAATATATTGCGGTACTATTTGAATGTGCACCTTACTTTAATTGTTGAGGGCGTCAGCCTTATACAAAACCCACCCCCGTTCCCTAGTCTTTTCTTTGTAATAGTTATGGTATTTCGAAAGGTATTATCCATCATTTAGGAGAGAAGCAATTGATTAGAGTCAATAACTTACTTTGGGAAAATGCTAGTCATCTCTCTCTCTCTCACTTAAATAAAACTTTTTGATTGGAGTCAAGAACGTTTTCAGTGCCAATTTTCAACGAACAAGAAGAAAAAAACAAAACAAAACACTTAGCTATGTTTGCCAACAAGAACTTTGGTAGCAAGGCATCCTAAATTTCAACCCATACCCTAAGTTCGAAGTTTAATTAAATTGTTTTTTAAAACGTGGGAAGTACGTCATTCTAAAAAATTAAGATGACGGCCCTTCACCCCACCCCACCCCACCCCACCCCATGGAGAGCGATGCTCTGGAAGCGCAAATAACACGCTGCGGGCAAAAAGGCCTTAATCCTCTTTTTCTCTGTCTTTTATGTCAATAATTTTCTTTCTCCTACGTTCTTTCTCAACTTTGCCCTTTTGGTTCGTGTGAAAACGTTTTTTAAAACATATTTTCACATGAAAATTTTTTCTAAATGTGAAAATATTTTTACATCAATTATTTGTTAATCGGTGTGAAAAGATGCGTTAAGACCAAGTGGTATGAAAATATTCCTACACGTGACCACATGAAAAAAAAATTTCATGTAAAAATAGAAAATATTTTCAAGAGCACCAAACGTGCCATAAACAAGCCAGCCTCTATTCGCCCCTCTTATCTCACATAGTGACAAGCCGTGATTGATGATCTTGCATAGTGACAACCAGTCCTTTGAGGTCTGAATCCAAAAGCTAGAGATAGAAAGAGAAAGGGCCTGGTTCTTTCCAATCTCTCTATAGAGAGAGAGTATTTGGATATTCAAGAAAGCAGTTGGGTATACGAAAGCAAGCAAGCCCTAATCTCTTTAGAGAAAGAAAGAAAGTATTTGGATGTTTTAGGAAAGCAGGTAGGTAGAAGGAACCAAGGTCTAGGCCCTCTTTTTATTGACGCCTCTATCTTACCTAACTCTCTAGAGGGAGAGAATGGTCATTTGGATTTCCAAGAAAGCAGCTAGGGATATGGAAGGTTGATGTCTGGTCATTTTCAATTTGTTCTCTCATGATATATGATTGGGGAATTTTTATTGTGTTTTACATGTTAAAATTTCAATGGGTTTTTTTCAATTTTATGACACTGATGAATGAATTATGGTAAATTTTATGATAATGAAATTGAATTTATGGGAAAGCATGACGTTACAGTTGAGTACAATTTGGGTGGCGGTAGTATTAATTTATTGAATGAAAAACTATTTAAATCATTCAGTAAATTAATACTGCCTCCAATACAAATCCTTTATGGATTAAACCAGTTAATTACCTAGTCTCCAAGTTGATAACTTCTAGGTGCTACCAAATACAGGTTTCCCAGCTCCCTAAAAATTCTAAAAAAGTTACCAAATAAGGATTTTCTACTACATGGAGAATGATCATATAGCTTCTCTGGGAGAAGGAACGTCCAGCCAACTTTCACTTGTAAAATATGTCCTCAAGGATCGATCATTTGGTTCATGTGTAAGTTCTCTCCTAAAAAGAAATTACCTAGTGGATTACTACCCTGGTGTGTGGTTCATGGAAAAATGAGTCCACTCATGTGAAAGTGGGTTCTCAACCTTTTTGTGAGAAAGTTCATTGCATGCCTAGAGACTTGTGAACCTATTTTCCCATGGTGGACCATCCAGTTGTGAGAGTTCTCTAGGGGTATGTTTGATAACAGGAATATATATGTTCCTTAGAAATTGGAAGTTTTTCTTTTGCTGTGAAAAAATAAAATCCCCAACGGTAAGTTCTAAGTGTGTGTTTGATAACTTGTTGGAATGTTAAAGAAGTTCTAGGTATCTATGTTTGACAACCTATTGGAATACTAGAAAGTTCTAGGTATCTTTGTTTGATTACCTGTTGGAATGTGGAAGAAATTCTAAGTAGTTGTACTTGATTAACTAGAGAAACCGATAGCAATGCTAATCGTTTTAATAATTTTTAATATTTTCCTTTTTTGGGATAAACTATGAATTGAAACTTAACTTCTTTGCATTCAAATATGCATAGGTAATATCTACATAAGTTTTGATGAAAGAAATTGATGTGCATACAAAAAGCCGATTGTATTTTTTGTGTGAAATTTGATGAATGAACTTCTCCCTCACCCTTTCTCTATTCTCCCTCTTTTCCCAATAAATTCAAGAAGAGAGAATTCTATTGAGAGAGAAATATTTCATGTACGAGAGAAATTATCATAATAAAAAAACAACACCCATATATATAAGAAAAAAAATTAATATGTCATAATTCTGAAACCGTACTAATAAAACAACATTAAAATATAAAAACTAAAAAAAAAAAAAAAGAGACCGAGTATAGATGCATTAGAAGCCATGAAATAGAACTAAACTCAGAGAAATGAGTCACTCCAATATTCAATACCAAAAATAAGAGGTTTCAGATATTCATGGACAACACTATAACTATGATTCCTACTAAAACTATGATAAGAGAGTTATGGCGATAGAAAGATATATTTAATAGAGAGAAAGATTTATATACTTTCCCTACAGCACAGAAAAACTATCCTTCCCCTACCATCCAGCCATCCAATTTTGATCAAGAGGGCCACTTACCATTTGATTTTAGATCCGACGTCTCAAAGTATTTTATTTTTAGTTTTTTTTATACAAATTGTATAAATATGAAATTTGGTACGAGCCATCTTCTCATTGTGGCGCACCTATAAAAAATATTAAAAATAATTTTTGATACAATATAATAACCAAAATATCCCTTGAATCTTTTAAGAGTATTTTGGTTATTTTATTTTGCGAGTTTAATAGAAAATTGGACGTCCAAAATTTGATATCAAAATAATTTATATAAAAAAAATAAAAATAAAATAGTGTAGAGACGTGACATTGTGATTGAGGCAATCTTAGCCCCCCATTCAGAATGGACGGTTGGATAAGGGGAAGTACATAAGTTTTATGCTGCAGGGAAAACATAGAAAGCTTATCTTTTATAGGTAGAGAAAGAGAGACTAGAATTGGGATTTTTGTCGGGGTTTTGGACTATAGAGGCATAGTAAGAAAGATAAATATGAAAAAGAGGGGGATGTAGAGAGAGATACTGGAGTTTTGAAGGATAT